TCGGTTTGTACCACGATAGCCGCTTTGCGTCCTCAATCTGGCTAGCAAACCGTCCCGACCCGACCCGATCCCCCATTGGGCACCCCGTATAACGAATCACAAACGCCACAACTCGCCGCAGAAAGCAACATCGTCACCTGACTGGCAGGTCACAATAACCTAACCCAACCATAATATTATTATTTGTACGCCTTGGGGTTCAATCTGAGGTTCTATTAGTCATATCCGCTCTCGGACCGTGTATTAGTAGGTTTTTTGTGTGTGTTTTTTTTTTTTGCTCTGTCACTGCGCCATGCTGTACCCCTTTTAAAAGCATGTCATTGTGACTCTTTGTAACCCCGAGTAACATGGTTCTTACTCAAATTTTTAACGTTTGGAGATACAGTGTCAAGAGCTTCCCCCATGTACTACCTTTGTATCATGTTAAAAGTTAAGACTTCTTTTCCTTTATTGTCCGAGATAAAAACTAGATTTATGGGGTTTTGGGTTGTTGTTTTTTTCATTTGAAGGATTTATAATGTGCAAAAATTGTGACCAGGTGGGTGGTTGGCAAGTATTCTGGGGTGGTTTGCTCCTGATTTCCCATCAAACATCTATCGTCCTTATCAGTCTCTCCTCCTTCTTTTCTTTGTAATGTTACTCTCTAGTAACGCCTCTAATATTAAGCCCTTATGATAAGATCTTTCGTGTTTTAAGTGCTGTAAAACTCTTACTGAAACAAATATTTAATACATGTACTTTTCTTTTTCATTTAAATGAATAAAAATAATTGTGAAAAACATGAACCTAAATGTTCCAAAATAAATGAGTGTAGCTGACAAAGATTATTGTTACTTTATGGTCTCGACTTGTCCCCTTCAAAGTTTCGTTTTTACTTTCAGACTTCCTCAGACAAAAAGGATGATGATGTTTATTCCGACACCCAGCTGCGGCAGCTTGTGTCTGACGACCTTCATCGTTTTGTTGACGGGGTCAGTGTCACAAGTGACGTCACGGATCGACAAGTTCAAGGCCGCCGTGTACGAGCACGCAGTGGTGTTGCCTGACACAAAGGTCGTGGTGAGCAGGGCGGAAGCTTTGGCTGCTATGGAGATGAACCTCGTGACCTACTGGGAGCAGACTGCAAAAGCCAAAGAGCAGGTAGCCTAAAACGGGGTGCCCATTGGGGATGGATCAGGTCGGGTCGGGCAGTTTGCTAGCCAAATTGAAGGCACAAAGCGGCTATCGTGGCACAAGCCGATCGCACCCTGCTCGTCGCCTCAAGATTAAACGCGTTTGTTTTCAGGTGACGAGTCGCACGATCAACTCGACCCGACCCGA